GAAGTACCATCAACCATTTAAACCAAATTGTCAAAGGAAATGGCAAAATGTACTAGGACTAAATTACAGATGCCATCTTTACTGTGCGGCCTTGGATATACCATTTCTGTAAAGGAACAGAGGTATTATCCCAATGAGAGGACCAATTTGTAAAACATTACTAATAGTCCAGAATTAGGCTGATCGGACAGCTCGGTACGTGAAAGCGTTTGTCAGCAGGCGTGATGATCTGAGTGTGACTTTCCAGAAGGAAGAAGGCGGAAAGAGAAAGCCGGCTCCTTAAAAGTGACCCCAGGCACCACACATGTGCTTTTGCATGTGCCCCACATGTTGGTGTCCTCACACTAGGTAAGTCAGTGGGGATCTAGAACTAACCAATTCCTGCAGGGCGATGATTGCCTAATACACACCGCTGGTGGTCCTCAGAAGCACTTAAAAGCTATTTCACGGTATCTACCGTGGGTGTGCGTGCGTGCGCAGGTGTTTGCATGCATGTGACTGTAGGCTTGTCTCTGTGTGTGTTTGTACACGTGTGTCTGTCTCTGTAGGTTTGTGTGTATGTTAGAAAACCATTCTTGATAATATATTCAGAACGAGTGAGGAAGAAAAGACCCTCAGATCCTCTTTGACATGATGAAAGAGATAAATGTGCTCAGTCGAAGCCTGCCGTGAGCTTTAACTTCAGTTCCTGTCCTCTGAGGTATTTAGGTGGCACTATCAAGGTTGACATGTAGAAATACCGAAGCATATTTAATGTGCAGATATAGCAATGTATTTAAATGTATAGACACAGTAATGTAAACCTAATTAAAAACATAAATTTACCTTGTCTACCTAGAAGGAAACTGCGCGCTGTGTCAATTTCAACCTCATTGCTATCAAGTGAAATTTTCAAGAAAAAAAAAAAAAAAAGATACTTTGAAAATTTAAAAGGCTGACTGACCAATTAGAGCTCTGGAACTGTAGGGGCAGGTCTGGGGCCACAATACCTTGAGTTATCTTTAATGCTTGAACAGCCTTCGTTTTGCCCACTCTGACCTAACATCTTTGTGGCCATCAGAAAAAACCTCCCAAATGCAGTCTTCGCTGTCCACTAATTCCCACAAGCCAAGAGTGAATCACATCATCAGCCAACACCTCAAGCCTGTAGTGTAATTGCCCTCACTATGCTCTGCCCATGCCTTGACTTGTGACTATAACGTTAGCATAACCTCAGCCATGATGTAACACACAATCATATTGCACAATCTGAATTCATCTTCCCAGGCCACAGTCACTCATTTTTGGCTCAGAATAAACTCTTTTAATTCCTTTAATATGGGAGCTATATTTTTCTTGAAAAATCTCTAAAAGCTTCTCTTCAAATGGATGGTCCTTGATGAAATCATTATAGCCCGAGTTGCTGTTTGGTCTGCTCATTCAGTGTTTTCTTCCTCACAGGGACTGTGCTTTTTGTTTTTAAGCTGTTGATTTGTCCCTCTGATGCCGGCTTCATCCACTGAGCTACTCTGCAGGGTCTCTGGCCTCTTGTGGTTTACATTCCAGTGGAAGAAACAGGAAATGACGGTGCAGTGCCAGGACTGAGGCTTTGAAGGCCCGAGAAAAGCCAGCGACCCCATCACAAGTAGGGCAGCGTTTAGACAGAAGAGTGGAATCTTCCTGGAAGAAGCAATGGGACCTGCAGGATAGGCCGACTTTACTGTGTGAATGGGAGCCAGAGCCATGTTCCAGGTGAAGGGAAGAGAGCATTGCCAAACCTCAGAGAGAACCTGAAAAATGAGAGATCCTACAGAGGTCAAGCTTAACTGTATGTGTAAGAGAAACTAGAGATGAAGAGGATGGTGGGAGAAGTAATGTCTGTGGTCTTAAACCTCAGACACTGGATTCCTTCAGTGAGTAATGAGAATTACTCAAAGGCTCAAAGAAGAAAAGGATATGATGAGTTTATTTGCATCTTGTATAAATCATGAGAGACTATCCAGTCTCTAAATAGAGGAAGACCCTTCCTGGAAAGTTCCGGAAAATCTTCAGAAAGGCTGAGTTCTCCAAATTTAGCACTTAGGATAGGCCCAAATATTTGGTAATTCACTAAAATTAAGGAGTGCAAAAGAAAGAAATCCCTTTGAACTCTCTTTATGAGGAAGCCCCACTGGTCTCATTCTTTTTTCCTGAGTGGTAGAAGCGTACCCTGAAGAGCGGCTTGTTAATCTGTTCCCGAAGAAACATGTTGTATGTAAGCAAGGATCTTAAGCCAATCTGGGAAAACCAGGTGCTTTACTTCAAAATGACAGATACAGGAAAATGTACACCGAGTTTCTATTTGATAGCCTGTCCATAACAAAACCACCTACTCCTATGTATTATCTTTCCATAGTAAATTTGTCATAATAAACAATTTCAAAACTAGGAAGACAAAAGTTCACTCGTAGAAAATAATGAAAAATTTATAGTATCCAAAATATGTAGTTTCATTTTCCACAGTATCACTTTAAGGCACGCACCGTAAACTTATATTTAGTTTAAAGATGTTAATGTTTTAGTAATATGAAATTGTGCATAAGCCATTTTCTACTCTTTTGCGCCACCTTTGGAACTGGATGACTTACTTCTCAGCTCACGCTCACACCTAGTGCTGTGGTCTGAACCCCTAGACACAGGCGAAGCCGCCACTTCTGTTTGGCTAAATGGGCACATTGACGACCTACACTGTTAGCTTCCTACCATCCGACTAGCTGTGTCTTCAGCCCTGTTCAAAGAATCTGCGTGTAGCAGCCACGAGCGGCTAATGTGCACGTTTGTGGCTGTTCAAGCTACTGAGGTGCTGTGAGAACCTGTCACTGCTTCCACAGCTGGAGGAGCATCATAGGAGAGGGGGCAGAATGGATGTGAGGGCCGCCGGACAGGGAGGATGGCCGTGAGGCCTGCACAGTGCACTCCTGAGCCCACAGGAGCCATGTTACCTTTTCCAGACGGAACCTGTCAGCATTCAGTCATGACGAAGAAGGGAGTCCTAGCGGTCTGGCTCTCCAGGAGAGTTATGAGTTACTGGAAGTTTAGGTTGCTAAGGGAGAGGGCAGCAGTGTCCTCAATGATGTAGGTACTTGCTTATACCCATGACCTCTTGGGCAGTCTTGGTTAAATGTAGTGGGTCATAAAACAAAGCAAAACAGGAAGATACGAGAGTGAGATGGAGACTTGTGAGAAGGAGTGGGGTATTGGTAGAGATGGACATGAAAGGGTTGGGTGGTGTGACCAGGGTGTACGAAATAATGCACAAAATTGTCAAATAATAATTAACTGTTTACAAATTGTTGGGGGAGGATCCTTAGCTAGGGGCTGGACAACTGGAAGAAGAATCCTGAGAGCACAGAGAAACACGGCTGCAGTGAGGCGTGGGTGCTTGTTACCCTGCCATGATAAATTCAGCAGACGGTCAAGATGAGTACTGCTCTATCAGAAGGCCAGAGGTCAGATCCCAGCACCCACACGGGGCTTCACGGATTCTGAGACTCTAGCGCCAATGGATCAGGTGCCCTCTTCTGGCCAATGTGGG